CTCCAATCATAGATAATCTATAATTGAATGTGACTTAAATATTAGAATATCATCAATGGCTGATGCCTTTACCTTGTTAGCTAATAGCTGATGAGTCTCAATAACTGTCAAAATAATACGCTTTGACCTGGAGAAAATGTTTAGGTACAAAAAATTTCAACACCCCAAATTGATCTTTCATGATGCTGCTGATGCTTATCATCAGCTTTGAACTATTCTGGGACTAAAGGAACCTAAAAGGAGCATTGAGATCACTCAAATCTTCTTTTCTACTTTCAAAACTGTCTTTTGAATCGTAGCTAAAAAAATAATTACTGATGCTAATTAAATAAAAAAGACTAAGTTTTTTATTTTGAAAAAATGTGCTCCAATTCTTGATGAATCACTGACATTCTTAGATGTGCTTCAGCTATCAATAAATCTATGTTAGCTATCATGACATATAAATTTCATGCTAAATTAATTTACTAATTCTACTAAAGTCAATTATTTTATAATGAATTATAGTTCATTCAATATAAACAATGTTCTTAATCATGTCAATGACGGGATTAATACTTTACAATGAATTATTGGCTACTAATGCTTCATTTTATAGCTTTGAAAGCTTCGGAAGAGAAAACTTTTCATCTAACCATAAATTAATCACTTTTTCCTGATTTATGGGTTTATTAAATATCAATAAATTCTCTTCACTTCCAATAAACCCATCTACCTTAGTACAAACAAATGTTCTTATCAAAACCAGTTGATAAAAATCTTAAACAAAAACTCATCATTGCCATAATATTATCAACATAAAAGTTCTTTTTTTATTATATTGTCACAGTTCACAATTCCACTAATGTGTTGTTATCTCCAATCAGTTTATTATTTCTTTATCAACCGGAAGAGAGAATTATTTAAAAAAAGAGATAGTCATTATTTATTCCTGACATGAATAAAAATGAGTTCTCTTCAGATTGCCCAACTCAAATTATTCACAATCAGTTGTAAATAAATAATCATATTGCATTCAATAAAAATGATAATTGCAGTGGAATTGTAGCAAAACCTTTCTCTGCTCCAACTAGAGATCTACAAAATAGTTCCGTTATTCCCATGTTACATATTCAGTTGAAACTCAGACATTAATTTCGTACTAGTTTTGACCTTGCTATTCGACCATAATAAAATTTTATTTTTTGTCTCAGATCATTATATCACTTAATCTTCAACACCTTACCAAGTCATGATAAATTATTAATTCAGTGGATTAATATCACTGAAATAAGACACACCGTATCAAGTATAGTTATCAGGAGATTAATCACGGTAATTAACCATTGGAATCATCGCCTTGTCGAGTGAAAGAAAGATGAGGAAAAATAGTAAACGAGAAAATGACGCGTTTGGTACTTGCCACGAGAGTCTTAAGGGTCACGAGAGATCGTGGAAAAGGCCGGCCCAGCGGCAACGTCTTTATTGGACCGTTATATAGTACCTACTTGGCCACTTGATCTTTGGAGATTGCCAGCTTCATGTCGATCGGATTATAAATCGAGCAATCTATCTGCATCGCACAGACCACGTGGGTGGTTTCATCTCAATAATCAGTTTCAATTATTCAATATTGTAGTATTTTGATCATGTTGTATGTTACTCTTTCACTTGAGAAGTTATTAGCTTTTCATTTATTCTAGACATTGAGGTACTAGAGTGGAAACTAGCTGAATGCAAATGAATGTCTGGTAATCTATGCTAACTGAAGAATTATTTGGATAAAAAAGTAAAATATTATGATAATCAATTTCTTGACAAATAGACATTAGAATAGTAAATATATTATTTAAAGTGTTATTATTCAATCTTAATGTTATTGAGATAGAATTTTATTAATTTTATCAACGTCTTATCGTTAAAGTATTAGTTAATCATGACTTTAAAGCCAACTTTTATTATTGAACTTAAAATTACTCCAAAGAACTGATGCTTAAGTTCATTCGAAACCTCCAGGTTTTAATGGATTTTAAGTTTAAGCTTTTAAATTCAATGAATTTATAAGTTTTTCATTTTTTTGCAATCAAAAATTCAATTAATCTTTGAGTGTTATAATTTTTCTTTATCACTTTATAGACAATATCAAATACCCTAAACTCATTTGTATTAAAAGAGATTACAGACATGCAGTATTCTCTAGAAGCTTTTTCCACTATCGTTTATAAGAATCTTACTTTTTATTGATAACATAATAATAACCATCTTAGAATACACAGACACAATTTTATCTTATGATTATTATTGTCTTTTTATAAATATCTATGAAAAACTCATTTAAAAAAAATTGTTCTGAGCAACAAAAAAAGTACAATTTTTAATGAATGCAGTTTTTAAAATAGAGACATACTTTGACACCAGTTTTCATCAGAGCACTTGAAAGCTAAATATAGTCACGACCATAAAAAATACACTTATGAACTTAACTTTTTCTAATTCATTTCATTTCCTTACTTAAAAAATTATTTCAAACAATAATGAACTTATTTTAATTCTAAATAATTCTTTCAAAAGCAAAAATCATTTTAAATAAACCAAAACTTTATTTAATTTGATCATTCAACTTTTTATATGAACTAAAAATACTGTAATTTTCATCAGATTAATATCTTTCAGCTAAAACAATCTCATTTAATGATATTAGAATATCTTCATTTCATTTATTCACCACCACAAGCTCATTGATTTTTCAAATAGTGATGTGCTCCAAATTAGAACAGAGCACGACATGAAACGTCTTGACTTAACTTCACTTCCTCAATCAAAAAGTCATTAATTTTTCATCTACTTTAGACAGTAATTCACATTAAGGTCAGAACTCACCTAAAAGCCTTTCATGTAATATTCCTTTTATTCAAAACTTCTAAGAAACGGAAGTAGACAAACTCGTGAACACACCTTTCATTTATATGTATTTTCCTAATAGCTTATTTTCTTCATTGAATTATTTTACATACTACCCATGTATAACATCCAGAACCACCTGTGGCAATTCTCATTCAACGGATTTTAAGATATTATACATACATGTATACTCAAGTGTTGATACGCATACATACAAATGTACCTTGAATAAAACTTTTACAATGGTAAAAACATACAAGAAGTCAAAATAAACTCTATTGTAATAATTTTAAAATTGTTTCTGAAAATATGATTGTTTATAAATACGTAAAAAAGTGGTTTGCAAAGTGGAGTTGACTAATACATGAGTGAGTCATCAAGACTATCTTTCTCTCAGTAAGACCAGTCTTATCCACAAAATAGAAATAGACTGGGCCATGTCCTGGTTTCCTAAGATATATATTCCAACGTTTTCCGATCGTTGTTTCCGGTTAAACTATTCTATTTTAATTTTATATTTCAAAAATACTCAACTTAATGACTTTTATTGTCATATTGAGAATAAAATTATGTCTAATAAAATCATAAAAAGTGTCATAAATATGAAAAAAACAAATGTCATTCAACTCGATAAAACGTCAAGGTATATATCGTGACAGATGAGAAATTGAATACCTAAGAGGTTTTAAACCTAGAAAACTAGCTATAACGTTATACATGGTATGGTCCTCTGTACACTCGCGTGTTTGCGTCACGGGCAAAACACACAGCGTTTTGGCTTACTTGCGTGGCACTACTCGTTTAATTATAGATCAAGAAGAAGAAAAAGAAAGGGAGAGTAAGAGGAAGAGAAGGAGAAAGCTTTTTGGTTCACTCGTAAAACCATGAAATTAAACAATGTAACGAAATTATTCTATACTTTATTTAAGTAATAAAAAAAAGTCATTCGAACCCTGAAAATGATTCTTCGAAGACGAAACTATTCAGGGTAATTATTTTTTTTTATTAAATTAGCATTTTTTTTTTTTAAAAAGAAATATAGTTAAAGTGTAGGTTTTATGGATTGTTGGGAATAGTTGGAATAAAGATATGAGTTTAATTGTTTTATTCATCACTTAAATCTTGTAGGATGTAGTTTCTCATGCAAATAAAATGTCAATCAGGAACAAAAATAAAGGAGAATATGGTGGCCTTGGAGAGAGCAATGGCTGTGGATTTACATGTGGCTTAAGGTGAAAACTGGTGTCAAAGCTGACCCTAGCTTTGAACGTTTTCATTAAAAAAAAGTCTCGATTTTCTTTATCAAGATGTTGAGTTGATTACATAATTAGTCTTATCATACTGTTTTCAAAATTTTAATTATTGAACGAATGTTGGTCTATAAAAGCTCCGGCTGTGGAGTAGTTTTACTGGCTATGTATTTAAACAATGATAAGATATTGTATTGTTGTAATAAATAAAAAATAATTGAAAAATTACATTTTACTAAATTAATTTTTTATAGCGAGTGTGAAATAATTATCTTGATTACACAACTCTGAAGCATAAACTTTATTTCTGTTGGAGGTTAGATATTTGTCATTTTTGTAACTAAACATTTGAAGTAACTATATATTTTTTTTATTAAATAATAGATTATTTCCAATTAACTGGCTATTTTTGTTCTAATAAATTACATTTATTTGTTGTTCATCTAATCATTTGTTTATATTCCTGGCTCACAAAAATTTTAGGAGTAATATTTTAAGTGATACTTTATTCATTATTTTTACTTGCCAAGTCATTAATTATTCATGTAATTCATTTTTTTTAACCATTTACTACTCTCATATTTACTTAAATATATTCAGTAATTAGTCAAAAGTACCTCAAGATCAAACTTTCCATGACAAAAAGCTAAATTTAACTTTAACAAAAAATCATTTTCCGTTCTAATTGCTATCATGTTTAACACCAGTACTAAATGATAGGTTGTTAACGAAAAAGCATTTAAAAAAATAATAATAAAAATCAATTCATCTAATGTCTTTTGCTATCAGCTAAATAATTATTTCTTGTTAAAATAAATTGTTTTCATCAACTTAACTCTTTTTGACAAGTTCAAACATGTAACAACTTACCATTTGTTGAGCACTTTTAGGTTTCCGATTAACGTCTATCACTTTCTGATTCGCTGAAAGAAAAAGAAAAGCCGGAATTAGCATGATGAGTTATTGCATAATATCAGTTATTTACAGTATTCAAGTTTTATTATTCAAGTTTGTCTGTTGTACACATTTATACCAACTAACTGTTTGCTGTCCATAACTACATGTACACTTGATTGACTATATACTGTTATTCAGTTCCTGAAACGCGAGTAGTTAATTAAATACGTATTTTTACCATGACAAAATCATATCCAAGGATTCAATTTGCACAGGATATTGCACATAATTCAATTACTTTACTACCAGTCTCTTTTAGTAACAAACTATTATGTCTAGTCATTCATAAATAATAAATAAATTTATCTATCAGGTGATTAACTTACTGACGGCTTCCACAAGATCAGCAAGTAAAACTCCGTCACAAAGATCAGCTTGGAGGTCAGTGACACGTTTCTTGTATCCACCGCGCTCAAGGTAGTGATTGGCCCAGTCAGTGTAGATCTGAAACGATCAAATTGAGATATAGATCAGTCAGGTTGTTTACAAATAGACAATAAGTCGTTACTTGGAATCATTGAAGTAGGTTTACTTGTCAATAAAATCAACATTATCATTAATTAATTCCACTTTTTATTGTCTTTATGATGATGCTATTAAAAATAAAGAAATAAATCATTTCTGTGTATTGTTAAGAACATAATACCTGGACAATTGTTCTTGTTGACTCTGTTTTACTTTCATCACCCCAACTTGGTACTGACCGTGGTGCTTTGATACAAGCCATTTTATCCGAAAAATATTTAAATAGCAAAACATTCCTAATTATCTATTTATGCACAACACTTTTTAATCCATTTTGTACTTGTAGCTGATAAAACTGACGATCAAAAACCAAGATAGAAACATTGTTTCAAATATTAAAAACATAGTGACACTAGTAGATGATGTTGAAAGCATATATTTCAATGTAAAACATACATTGATTCAATCATGTTACATTTGTATTCCTTGAGACTTCGAATATCTCAAAATTATTTAGATTATTCAATTTATATACACTTGATCGTACTGTCAACAAAGTGTGAGAGATAATTCACTGAAACTTCTCCCCTTTTTTAAGACAACATATCAAGTATACTTATCCAATTTAGCCAAGTGAAAAAGGCTAATATGATCTAGGGATTTTAATATTCCTGTGTTGAATTATTTTATTAACATGGAACTCACGTGAACACACAAAGTAAGAACTCGCGCCAAATTCCTATTGAAATTCAACTGATCAATGACACGTGTTGAAAATGGAATTTTTTTAGTTTCGCGAACACAAAAGAACACACCGAAAACATAAGAAGTACTGAAGAAAATTAACGTCATTTAACTATACACCGAAGCATCTCGTCGCCGCGACGTACCGGACGTAACTGAATACGCTGACTACGTCGCGACCTATACAAGCTGCTGTCGTATAATGCCGCTGAATGTATACATTACTTTTACTAGTACTTATAGGTTGATTCGTTTCCCACTTACACCTATCACCTATACATGTTTTATCTTCGCCATTCAAAACAAACATTTATTATTTACTCATCTTTTTGGGTTTTATGTACACACATTTATTATTATGTACTGTTAGAAATTTACATCTTATTTTTTGAGTGGAGTTGAATATTAGAGGTTTTTTAGTGGGCACTGTTTTATGTTGAATTTTCTTTATTTTTAATATTGGAGAGTTGGATAAAAGAAAACGGAAGCTGAATGGTTATTCTGAGAATTTTATTGATCTGTAAAACAGTAGTTGTAGAGTTTTATTGACGATGATGGTGAAGAAATTATTCATTATGGTTTAGCTGTCAGTTTTTAAACGTAATTAAATATTTGTGATAAAAAGTAATTGAAAAATTTTCTAGTTCTTGTTTTTGGAATTTAATTTTTTACTGAACGTGTCTGGAAGTTATATGGCTGATTTTAATTGTGAATTGAAATAGATAATGAATAAATAAAATGACAAAAAACATGGAATAAGTAAATTATGTAAATTATCTAAATGAATCGCACGAGTATGTGAATCGAGTTATGTTATGTCGAATCAATCATAACATCAATATAATCGACGATTGCATTTATTCAATATAAATTTTATCTCTATTTCTGTAAATTCCATGTTCGAACGTTTTTCCATTGAAATCAAGAATAAAATATTCACATTATCAGGAAATTTCCAGCATTGACTTTTACGTCTATTCATTGATGTTGAATTAATTCTTCTTTTTCGTATTTTCTATCAATAAATTGATTAAATGAAAAATTCTTTTCAAGTATGACGGTTTGATACTTTGAAGAACTTGAAAGAATTCCTTATAAATAGTTGAATATTTTTTGGAGTACTGATTTTTATTTCAACATAATATGAATATTTTCCTAATAATAATATTAGATGTTTTAAAATTAATATGGAAAAATAAAACCTTTGCATTATGATCAACAAGAAATAATTATAAAAAAATAATAAATTAATTAATAAAAATATTTTTATCAAATTATTTTTTATTTTTGTACATTTCATTTTTAAGATTGAAAATTTGTGATAAGAAACACTACTTGGTGAGTAAATTATTTTTATTTTTTACTAACATAATGATATAATTTTGCATGCAGAAAATTTATATGACAAGTAATAATTAACTCATAATTGTAACAGTTGTTTTTACAATTATTTTAAACAATTGTATTTATTTAGTGAAAATAATCGTTTTAATTCATTCCATTCAACGATAATTTTTTTTGAACCCCATGGCTATCATAAAAAACCTTGAACTCCGAAAATCCCGTATTTAATAATCGCAATCAATCTGAATTCCCCTGGATTTCGCATTTTTTTTTTGATTAACTTTCTCGAAAGTTCTATTTTTTATCCACCATAACGGTGATAATAGAATATGACAGAAAAAAATATTGAAAAATGAAGCATATTATGAATATTCTCGACAAGTGTTGGTCGGCAATGCGATCGATTGCTATTCTGAGTGTTCGCGTATACCAAGCGGCATCATTAATTGTAATGCCACTCGACGTGTCGCGTTAAACGCACATATACTCTATCCATGTATAATACAAAGGTATATAGTAAACTAGTAGAGATAATCGACTTGACTGTCGAATATCGATCAGGCCCTCCGGTCAGTCATTTGCGATGCAATACAACTTTCTCGTGAAGCTAAACACAATTTCATTCCCACGCCCTATTGTAATTGTCACATCGAAATATACGATCAAATTTATTGCGATGTCTATCTGCAATATTTTAAACTTTACTTGGCTCATCGTTTTTTTTTCGAGGACATTAAGCCATTTTTGTTGGAAGACTAATATTGAATATTTTTACGACAATAAAGACATTGAGGATAAATTAAATATGTTGAGAAATAGAACCGAGAGGAAAAGAGGAAAATAAAGAACATGTATGCTTTTGTCGCACGATTACGAAGGGCTGGGATTATTGTATATATGTATTCTAGAACCATACATCCACATGCACGGGCGACTAGGTCGAGCAGGGAGCGAAATTAGGTTCTCCGTATTGCGATACTGAGTAAGCAAAAGAGGGCGAGAAAATACTGGGGTTGATGCGTCAAAAAATATCAGACAAAAAAGTGGGAAAACAGAAAAATCATATTTAAAATGTATTAATATACTTTTCCCTCTCTGAAATTTTTTTTTAGAGAGGTAATCAATATAAAGAACCACTAAATCGAATAATTCTAGCAATTCAAGTGAAAATAATTGATAATCTCGTGTGGAAAAATATAAATATCATGAAAATTCATTTTTTATATAAATTAAAATATTAAAGCAACAAGTCACTGAATAACTTTGATTTAATGAAGACATACAAATTATTGACTTTCATGAAATAAATTTGTTCAACTACCTAATGAAAAATGAATAATTATATCAATTTATTACTTAAATATTGAAAATAAATAGAATTATATAGAAATTCTTTAAAATATTTTGTCAGTGATTAGATATTTTTTTCATTATAATAAATTTTTATTTTTTACTAAAAAATCCTTAATTTACTACTCACATGATCATGAAAAGTAGATTTAAAGTCATTTCATCATCTTTTTTGTTAAATATACCTTTTTCTGTGTAATATGTTTAAAATAAGTGGATTAACGATAATTGTAAAATTAATTACTACTTATAGATCAATAATGACGTGGACAAGTAATATAGACCAGATGAATTTAATCGATTACATCAACAAAGGTGAACTTTATAGATTTCTAATATAAGTCTTTATAGAGAAAGTACTTTTTTGAAATAACTATGAGATTATAGGTGCACGGAAATAAAATATTATTACGACAGCTTAACAGTTCAGCTCTTACAATGAACTGTTTTCTTACTTAAACGTCATTTGGCTTCGTAGGTTAAGAAGGATTATGGTTTAGTCGGTGCTGTATGATACGATAACCTTAGAACGTAATGTATAGCCATATCAATGTAACAGAACATGATATTTTCTAGTGATTAGTGATATGTTATTAACAACACTTTCGATAATAAGAATAGTGATATTTCCTTTCTACTCCAATGGTAACAAGTTTGTTCATCATAATAAAAAAAAAATTGGAATAAAAATATTTTAAATATACTAATATCTTAAAAAAGAATAATCGATTTTTCTTTAGTTTGTTTTGTTCAAAATGATGAATTATTCTAGGACGTTTTGATTCTAAATATTTGTCTTGGAGAGGTTGAATTTTTTAATGTTTCATACGAATTATTTTAGTCCTTTCCAAATAGAAGGATTGTTTCAATGATTTAATGCATGTTTTATTCCATATTGTGCAAAACGGGCTCATGCTATTTAAATCCAGCGTTATTTATTATTAAATATAACGTTCGTTTATTAAAATTTTTTTCTTCAATTCCATTAGTATTTTTGTTCGGTTTTTATTAAATTTCTGATACAAGTTGAAAAAAAAATGCTAAGATAATTGAAAAACCAGTCAAATTTTTCGACAAAACATTTTCTATTATTTCTAGCCATTGTTTTTCACTCCATCAGTTCGAAGTGCAAACAAATCAATTGAATTTGATAGTGACTTTCGAAAGAAAGAATAGAAGTGACCATTTTTTTTAATAACGTATACTCTTTAAAAATAAAACTTTAAAAATTATTGCGAAATAGTAAATACATTTACAGTTTCTTTTTTAGAGAATAAATCAAAAACATTATATCACTTTGTGTTCATCATTTCAATAAGAACGTTAAATAAAATTTCTATTACTGAATAAAACAAAACATTTTTTAAAATTTATTTCCAGGCATAAACTCCAATTTTTATTGATATAAAGTGCTTTAAAAAATTAAAGATTTATAGAAATTAAAGAAGATGAGACACGACATTGTGTGAGTTTCCTCTTAATTGAAAAATGTAATGGTCAATAGTTCACTAAAAAAAAGAAATATAAAACATAAGAAATTG